AATTGATGATAACAAAGAAATTTCAATTATGTGGATCAGGATGAATAGGCTATTACTAAACTTCTTTGTGTAATTGCGATTCAATGATTTAATCCCGAAATAGCTCTTAGCTCTTGAAGTGCGAAATCTACGTATACGAAATAGATTAAAGAATTTCAGCCAATGAATTCTAATTCCGGTAACACTATCAAATTTAAATTTTTATTGGTTTAAAAAAATAAATTCGGTTCGGTTTCGGTTTGTATGGTTTGTATATATGCAAGAAATTCGGTTCGGTTTTGGTCTATAAACCGAAAGTTCGGTTCGGTTCGGTTTATAAACCAAAGATTTCGGTTCGGTTTCGGTTTACCCATAAAACCGGTTCGAACCGAACCGTTAGGAGCTTTATTTATTACCTATTTTTATTTTAGGTTAACAAATTATCACTTTGAAGACAAAATGTAAATTTCTAAAAAGTGATTTTTCACATGAGAAGAAAATTTAATAAGCAATCTTAATTTATAGAAAATGAAGCTAGCAAAAAATCTGATGTATTATTAAACAAGATCAGACAGCAATACATATGTATATTTTTTTGTTTTAATAATTTTACCACATAATTATATTTTCTTATTTTTTATTAATGATTTTAATTCTTTTAACTTTAACTTGATTTGCTGATTTGTTTTCATCAACGTTTCTTGTTGGTGAAGCATATGGTACAATCCGTTTCTGTGGTTGAGTCACTTTATGAGTAGTTTTAGTAAGTTGATGATAATATTTCAACATGTGTATCTAGTAAAACTATTGTGAATAAGAATCTGTGAACATTTTTTTATACAGATTGAGATTACAAAGATCACTTACCTTAAATTTCTTCACTGATTTGATAACACTTTCGATTTGTAACAAACACATAGCAGAGTCAGGTAAAACAAATACATCATATTTGTCAACAATGTACATGTTATCAACTAGACACATACAGTGAACCCTCCCTAAATGCACACACTATGTATACCCTCTGTAAATGCACAGCCTATCTCATCCCCAAGCTTATAGAGAGCTTATAAAATCACCCTCCATAAATGCACACCCTCCATAAATGCATGCTCACAAGAAATAGCACTATGTTCCCAAGTGGGCGCACTTATAGAGGGTTCACTGTACTTAAAAGATGAAATTTGCATCCTGTTTGAAATAATCTAGTTAATCAGTTGTTCTTAATTGGAAGAATTGGAAGAGTTTGCATTGGTACTTACCATATATCAAAATAGAAAATGATTCTAATTTCAATTTATCTTCATCAACATCTAGATGTGAATGCTGATTACAAAGAGATAGCATCATTGCTATAATTAATAGAAAATGCAATTGTTGATTAAAACATCATTCCTGATTCATACAACTGAGATTTTGAGTGCAGGTTCATGTTATATATTGGAATTGTCCAATCAAATCAGTTGATAGTTTCTAAATTTGTACACCTTTCATCAACTTTTCTGTGTCATCATTTTTGTAAGATGTATTTTTTATAAACACATTTACAACAACTTCTAAGAAGCAAATTCCAAATCATACGTAGGGTTTGTATTCATGAATATCATAAGGGGGTCACACAGGGTCACACACTATTAAAATCAAGTGATCAACTCATGTTTTTAAGGGATTTTTTGCTGTTTTAATAGTGTGTAACCCCTTAATGATATTCATGATATTCATGAATAAAAACCCTAATTGTATGCCATTTATGTTCATATATAAGATTGCATCATGTTTTTCACCTAATTTCCCATGTTCACCATCTAACCTTGAAAAGTTCCACTGCTGTTTCCAATCTTCATTTTCGATTTCTCCCCTAATTCCAATTTAATAAAGAATTTAGACACAATTGAAAATGCTAACATTTATTTAACAGAAAAATTTACATTTCCATCCATAGTGCATCTTCTATATCATGGAAAATTGATGATAAAAGTGGATTCACAATCTCCTCCCTATATCTATATTCACTTGCTTTATTATCTTTCAAACTACCACATGTTCTCAATAATTGGAAAACCCTAATAAAAAAGGAATGTCAATTCTATGTAACCATTACACATAAAAATGCAGTATAACCCATTACAAAGCTTACATTTCAGTGTAGAAGTCTTTACACCAGAGCAATTCATATTTTTGCTTACTATATTCATCAAATGGTCGTTTTGAAAAGGCAGTCACAAGTGCATCAAGATTTATATAAACTGTATCTTTATCCATGTTTTTTTCAATAACTTTATGATAACTATCTACTGGTGTTTTCAATAAACATGAATTCCAATTTTCTTCGATCTCTTTATTAATCAATGGCTTGGTCTTATTGTTATTAAGAGAATAAATTTTTAAAGTATAGAAATAAAATTACCTCTTCCCATTTTCTTTTTAAAAAGTTAATTTGATTAGTAGATAATGTTGCAAAAAGTTTTTTGGTGTATGGAAATTCAATATCAAAGAGACAAAAAATATTGTAATATGCTAAACATGATGCATTTTTCAACATTTCTGGTATCTAGTTCAATTAAATTGACCCTAATAAGTGTTATGAATATTAAGATTTACTTTGATTTTTGAAATAATATTCAACGTATTTTCATTATTTTCATTATTTTTTGTGGTTCTGTTTTTAGAATGAAATATTCATTACGATTATTTTTGTTGATCTTGAAAAGACTTTTTTTTAAAAAATAACTAGAGTGATGATGAGTGGCAATAACCACAACCACCATTCTTATGATAAACACTTACTTGCATCCAATTCCTCTGTCATCTTTGTGTTTTCTTTTTTTGTCTGATCTTGCAGACATTTTTTTTTTTATGTTGAAAAAAAAAAAATCAAAAGTTTATATATAATAAATTAAAAAATGAAAGAAAGAAAGAGATAGATTTCAAGAAACTTGGCTGCTGCTAATAAGAAAATAAATGATTTTGGAAGAAAAATCAAATCATGAGTGAAAGAGAGGAAAAAAGTTAAAAGCAAAAATAACAAAAATGTTATTATTATTATCATTATTATTATTGGCTTGATGATGTTGCACACAAAAAAAAATTTGACGCAAATTGAATTTTTTTTTCTTTTAAAAACAATCTATTTTTCAACATGAGTGTTGTTGTTTGGTATGGTTTGGCTCTGTAGCAGATGTATTGTTTATAGGTACTATTTTTTATTTGTGTCTTTTATTTTAGTTTATAGATGTATATTATTGAAATCAAAACTTGCTGGGTAATTATAAGATCCTTATCAAGCTGGTAAACAATTGGTATTTTGCTTTGCGTAATCAATATCAATATTATTATAAATATATAATTAGGGCGCTGACATATATTAGCCAATATTTTAGGGGGTGGGGGATAACAGAAAATCTTAGGTCACACAATCTCATAAATAACGTGATCATAATGGCTTCAGTGAAAGATAATTTGAATGTAAGTGTTTCAATTTGGGAATGATCTACATGCAAACCAATTGTCATTTGCACAAAAAATTGCATT